AACAACAGTGGGTCGGCTTCACACCTGACTACGAGATAACACACCACCACCTAGCAGAGAGAGTGAGATACTGTGACACCACCCCACACCACATGGTTCCCCTTGACCACGTGAGGTCCTTTATATTAACACCTACGGACGAGTTACTGCACCACGTGAGCACCACACCACCCAGTGTCTCCATGACCACACAATTTCCTTAATATTAACACTTACAGACGAGTTACTGCACCACGTGAACACCACTCCACTCAGTGCCTCCATGACCACGTGAGGTCCTTCATATCAACACCTGCGGACAAGTTACTGCACCACGGGGCCTATGTGACACATAGTATGGCAAAAGACTAGCCCGGGCCATCACCTGCAAAGTATAATAATGTGTATGTTCAATTCATGTTCTTTCTTCTTTCAGTAATGAAAGCTTTTGTTAAACGACCCACCCACCCGATGTCTTTGTATGTAATAAGTTCATTTTTGTCTAATGTATATTTTCAGCCTTCGGGCTGCAGAACGTTTGCAATAAACCGTTAATTATTATTATTATTATTATTGCACACATCGTGCCACTTTTGAACCCTGAAGTAACTATGAAGTTATTCACTCTCAAAGGGTAACACAGTAAGTGCCAGGTACCAGGGAGAGGACATAACACGTGGTTGATTCACTGGGTGAGAAACTTGTTTACTCGTTCGGGATGAATTTTTATAAACTGATGCAGAAACAATCATCAACACATGTCTTGGTTCTTCGTGCTATAAATAATCACCGCTGCAGAGAAAAGATGAGCGAAAGTTCGTCTGGTGTAGCTTCATCACGCGTGTCATTGTGGGATGGAGAGAGAAACACCCGGGACCGTCAATTGCTCATAATGGCGCTATGTTTTATGGTGTAGATGTTACACCATTACAGCACAGTGTAAAAGGACGCCATTGAATGCTGCAACAATCACATACTGACGACTTGGCAGTGTTCGTGTTTGGGTAATAGCTAACAGCATCATTATTGATCTTATCTTACACATCAACCACAAGACATGGACGAAAACCACAAGTCTCAAGTGGTGTCGGTCATCCTGTGATTAGAGTGATGCAACCATTAAAGTCTTTAAGTACCACCCAAGTTGTGGCAACGGTGAAGTAGCAGACGATAATACGTGTTGAGGTGAGCTGTCTGGCCAATACAGTACTTTACTGAACACCACCACGGTCATCCTCATCACTCATGCTCCCTCGCCTCCCCCGTTGCGCCTGGCTGACCATACAGTAGTGACTGTTATTACTGACTTTCCCTACTTCTGAATGACCGACGGTAAACCATCCCCGTGTTGTTTGCTTGTATGGGACAATACTACAACATACACAGGAAATTGATGCTCTTAAAACAGTCAATACAGAGAGATAAACTGCAGAGGTGGGTCAATATAACAAATTATACCGAAACTGTTTTTAATATTTCTAACGAAATTCAGACTTCCCCGAAGACGCTGTACGTACAATACACCCACAAATGTTCTCACGTACTTCAGCTAACTTACTGATCACCGTACCATATCGCATTGATTACTTATTGTGAAAATTGAATAACGAAAATGATTTGTTGTGTTAGTGTGGAGGTCAGGTGGTGGTGGTGGTTGCTCGGGGCGTGTGTGGAGGTCTCGTCGGTTATAGAAACCACAACAAGAGTCACGCCCCCACACACGCGCCACGCCCTCGCACATGCACCTTGAAGTGATCTGCTTCCATAAATGACAAGTAACACTACCATGTGCCAAGTCACCAGCAACACCATCGCTTCACCAACACCACCATGTCCCCAGCACCACTATGTCACTAACACCACAACGTCACCAACACCACAACGTCACCAACACCACAGTATCACCAACACCACCACGTCATTAACACGTCACCAGCACCACCACGTCACCAGCACCACCACGTCACCAGCACCACCAAGTCAGCGGCACTGCTAAGTCACCAGCAGCAGTACAGTATATCACCAAATTCCACACAGTACAAACTTTCCACCACCCCCACCACTCTTTCGTGACACACCTCCCCCTCCCCCACCACCTGTGTCTGCCATAGCACGTGACAAACACCTCGCCCTCTGCACCATCCTCCCTCCCCACGTCTGCCACCAATATCGGCGATCCATGAATTATTTGACTTGATCTGCCACCGGTGCAAAATATTTTCACCTGTCACTTTCACATGCTCCCCCCCACCTACTGCAACGCTTTCTTAAGTCATGCAGTTAACGCCAGGCTCTCACCCTCACCCCTGTTAATATGGGGTCGTAATTCAGCGTGACCTGGAACGAGGGACTCGGTGTATCCTGACCCCGACTATCCAACATTGGTCGAGTTCATGGAAACACGACAAATCCAATAATTAACTCGGGCGGCCATATAATTATTTAAATTCCTATTATAGTCATTTCTGTCATGATTACATAGAACAATTGAAGTGATTTTTTGCAAAGGAGCGCGTGTTATTATTCACCTTAAAGTGTACCTGAGCACACGATGGCACATTAACCGGGTTGCAGTTCATAAATTTCTCGAGTCATCCATTTTTTTATAAGTAATGAACGAAAATGTTTCTCGGTTTTCGTTTAAATTTCAATTTAACTTAGCATCACAAACAAAGCATTATGTATAGCTGTTAAGAGTTAGGATGGTGCTGGTGTTGAATGTATGTATGTGTGTGTGTGTGTAATAATAATAATAATAATTAACGGTTTATTGAAAAAATTCTGCAGCCCGCAGGCTGAAAATATACATTGGACATAAATGACTTATTACATACATTGGTGGTTTAACAAAAGCCTTCATTAGAGAAAGGTAATGGAACATACAGTGAACATACAGATTAATGTAGGTGTTGAACAGCAAACTCGTAGTGTAGTAACTCCCTCCCAGATGGTGTTAGGAGGAACTCACGTGGTGTAGTAGTTCCCTCAGATGGTGTTATGAGAACCCTCATGTGGTGTAGTAATTCCCTCACAGATGGTGTTATGAGGGACCTCACGTGGTGTAGTAATTACCTCACAGATGGTGTTATGAGGGACCTCACGTGGTGTAGTAATTACCTCACAGATGGTGTTATGAGGGGCCTCACGTGGTGTAGTAACTCCCTCACAGATGGTGTCATGAGGGGCCTGACGTGGTGTAGTAATTCCCTCACAGATGGTGTTATGAGGGACCTCACGTGGTGTAGTAATTCCCTCACAGATGGTGTTATGAGGGACTTGACGTGGTGTAGTAATTACCTCACAGATGGTGTTATGAGGGGCCTCACGTGGTGTAGTAACTCCCTCACAGATGGTGTCATGAGGGGCCTCACGTGGTGTAGTAATTCCCTCACAGATGGTGTTATGAGGGACCTCACGTGGTGTAGTAATTCCCTCACAGATGGTGTTATGAGGGACTTGACGTGGTGTAGTAATGCCCTCACATATGGTGTTATGAGGGACATGTGGTGTAGTAATTCCCTCACAGATGGTGTTATGAGGGACTTGACGTGGTGTAGTAATTCCCTCACAGATGGTATTATATGAGTGAGGTGTGGTCTTAGGCCTTCCTATCGTAGACGGATTAACACATCGCTGGTTGCTGTTGGGTCTCACGGGCCGTTATCACTGGGTACCTGGGACCTCACTGTGTGAAGGTTAACTTGGGTACGACTGTTACTGTTGAGTTGTTCTCACTGACTTAAGCACTGTTCACCTCTGTTTAACACTGGTTCGGTTCCGTTCCTTTCCTAAATGAAATTGTAACTTCTGGAGAGAACTTGTTGATATTCCGGTGGGGAGGAGGGTTCAGGGGAGGGGGTTGGTATGGACCAACTTAACAGTTGACCTGGCTGACCCTTCGGTGGTCAAGGATGTGTGTGTGTGTGTGTGTGTGTGTGTGTGTGTGTGTGTGCGCGCGTGCGCGTTCGCAGAAGACATTGATAATTTGTACAAGGGAATAAAAATTTGTTTTGTCTCAATTGATAACTGTAATTTTCTTATAGGTACTTTAAAGGTTCACAGTTGACATAATATTAATACTTTTTGGTCCCAGAGACAAACTCTTAAAGTCTCTTGTACACGCATGTACACCTTGTACTCATCAACAATGTTGTCCCACTTTGGACACCCGAAATTACCCTTAGCATGTAAAAACTAAACTTCATTCAGTGCCATACTGGATTTTAATATCTCAGATCTAACAACGACATCAAAAGCAAAGGGCAGTAGCATGTGTTAGGTATAACACAAGTACAGTATTTGATGAGACTGTAATGAGGCTCTGGACGAGATGCTTCATGTTTTTTACTTTCAAAATTACAGATGTAAAAATTCTTAATATCATCGACTATAAAGGACAAACACAACATACAGTACATATACTTGTATTGTTTCTCACTTTTTTATCTTTTTTCATTTTTGTATTTATGGTTCTTTATTATCATTATTAATATTATTATTATCATTATTACTACTACTGAGTTGTTATTATCATTATCATTATTACTACTACTGAGTTGTTATTATCATTATCATTATTACTACTACTGAGTTGTTATTATTATTGTCATTATTATTATTACTACTAATGAGTTGTTATTATTATTATCATTATTACTACTTCTGAGTTATTATTATTATTATTATTACAGTTAATAATTTTTATTATCATTATTATTTTGTGATTTTTTTTATTAAAAATTTAATTTACTATGATTTATTATTATTATTTATTATTACTATTATTACATCTTCGCCCCCCAGGCCCCGATGTGGGTCAGTGACCTGTGCCCGGGTGGGCTAATCCCCGTAAAAAAAAAATCAATAAAGCTTCATGAAGACTAATATAACACAAACGCATCATTAATTCATGTTATAATTACTAGATATTTTTTCTTTTCTTTGTTTCTTCTGTAATGCATTTATCATATTTCTTCATACTTCTTGTTGTGAACATTATTGTGGTGGTGTTGTTCCTGCAGGGTACCTGGTGCTGGGGGTGCTCTCCGTGGTGTCCTGCATCCTCCAGATGACTCTCCTGGGCCTCCTGGCAGCCGTCACCCCTACCTTCGAAGCCACGCCCGCACTACCACCCACGGCCAGCCATGAGAGGATGCGGGCGTGGGTACAGTTCCTGGGTGGTGCTCAGGGGGCCATGGCAGTGCTGGTGGGCGGGATGGTGGGCGTGACCATCGTGGTGACGGCGTGTTGCTGTAAGACCCCTAAAGACAATGTAGTGGGTGTGTATCAGCCCAGGTGACAATCCCACCCACAACCATCACACACCCAACCTTCACAGTCACGTACCTCCCCGCTCACCTTCCACTCTCTTCATGTCCATGTTGAGGACTTATGTTGACGCTTGAACAAACAATATAATTAAGTAATCCTCACTGAAATGAGAGATTTAAGTCCTAGACTTTCTGGTCTGATGAGTGCAGCGGGTCTAGCGTTCTTCCTCCTCATAATCCTCTTCCCGTCTCATTTCCTCTTCTCTCCACAGACTCCCCTTTCCGCCCACTTTGTCTCAGCTGTCCTCCCACCCTCTCATCTCCAGCTTCGAGCCTCCCCTACAATACTCAGCATCTCTGCCCTGCGTGTCAGTGATGCCCACACGTCGATTATGAAATTGGTCTGGGTCACCATCCATCCCCACATCACAGCTTCAAGGTCGGCCGGACGCACCCCACGTGACACACTTCCGGCGGCGTACCTGGGGCGTGACACGGGCCGCCCACACCCCGGAAACCCACGACAACGAGGGCGTGACCCCTACGCCAACCCCACCACCTGCTTGTGCGTGAAACTCTATACTGTTACTATGAACAAAGTGGTACTGTGGAACTGTGTTTAGCGACATGGTTTGGTTAATTTTATATAGTGTTGAAAACAAAAGTATGAAGTTGTGTACATAGACAGTTTGATAAAATAGTGTAAATATACTGTAGAAGGCATGTCTGGAGGCGAGTGTTGGTGTCTGTGTTGTGCCGCGTGTTACCCTGAACGGAGGTGCTCACTCACATAATAATAGCAAGTAGTGAAACTGAAGGTTGACTCTTACCACCACTTAATATACCAGCCAGTGCCAGGTTTCAGCATCCTTGCACACGTGATCGGGCAGAAAAATGCCAATGGTAGCAATTCTTTATTATTGAACCATTTCCATGGCAACCATCCTCAAATTATGGCAAACACTTATCATCGTTCAAGCTGCTATAACTGCTATTAAATATGCTAGGGTGTTAAAGGAAAGCTCTGGGATTGTTCTGAACAGCCATGCCTCTTATTGCTAGTGTTCTGCTAATTTGCATATAATTATGACGTCACAAACCGGAAAAAATATTCCTATTCTGTTGTGCATTTGTTGTTGAGTCTTGGTGGTTCAAAATAGTGCTGTCTGGTAGGAAATATATCTAGCTTATCAAAAATGTTCATTTTATGGAATGAAGAATCAGGAAAGATCGATTAATCCTTAGTTTTCATACCAAGGTGGACAATCTGCCATGCCATTGTGACGCCCAACGTCAATGTTGTGAAGACCAACATTAGTTACTGTCCAATGATACCAGCTCCAGCAACCAGGTTTAACATTGTATACATCATGATGACGTATCTGCAGTTATGTTTCGTTCACTAGGCCAGAATTGAACCTATACTGTGTACGACGAAGCAATTTACTGCAAGGCGCAGATGATTATGTGCTGCAAGGCGCACATGATTACAGTATGTGCTGCAAGGCACACATGATTATGTGCTGCAAGGCGCACATGATTATGTGCTGCAAGGCGCACATGATTACGTGCTACAAGGCGCACATGATTATGTGCTGCAAGGCGCACATGATTATGTGCTGCAAGGCGCACATGATTATGTGCGCAAGGCGCACATGATTATGTGCTGCAGGGCGCACATGATTATGTGCTGCAAGGCGCACATGATTATGTGCTGCAAGGCGCACATGATTATGTGCTGCAGGGCGCACATGATTATGTGCTGCAAGGCGCACATGATTATGTGCTGCAAGGCGCACATGATTATGTGAAGAAACCCATATGAATTTGCCAGTGACCATATTGAAATGGGAGTCATGAACTCATGAACTGTGCGATGAACCCTATGGCCATGTGATATAGCGAAGTGGATGTGAAGACATTCTAGTGGAAGCAACAGTCAGCCATGCTGGAAGGACAAATCATACCACCGGGGAGTTAGAATTCATAAGCTGATGAATGAAGTAATGAATCGCGTCAAATGGATGGCATTTGCTGAGTCTGTCCAACCATCAGAACTCACACAACGTGAAAGGAATGCGATTCTGAAAAGAACTGGGAAGTGTATCGCGGCATTTGAGGATCTCCAGCAGGTAAATGGCAAAGACAGAGCTGCAGCTCAGCATTCCCTACTAGACTTGACATATGGTAGCCAACTCTGCATTGCCTCTTCGGGAAATTCGTGAAGAAAGGGAAAAGCTGTTCTGACACTTTGTTCTGGGAAAACCATGTTTCGGATTCCTCACAGCTCCTCTTGGATTACATAGCCGTAAAACAGGATAACAACAATTCCATGGAAATCGAAACATTTGACGAGATTATTCCCCTTGACTTTCAGTGTGGCCATGGGAACTATACACGATGTTGATGCATTGACTTCGCCGAAACAAGATTCTTAAAGAGAAGAGACTTAAGGAAGACCAAACTTTAACTAAGGGCCAAGGTGCAATGAACAGGTCTGGTCGGTTAGCGGAGTTTGGCATGACATGGCTATTGAACAATCGCTTAAAGACTGTGGGAATCACAGGCAACTTTGCACTGAGCATGAAGCACTTGAGAAAGATATTACTTGATTATACAGTTAAAGGCAGCTGCAACAGTTAGGACAAAACAACTGGGTGGACTTCATCATACACATAATGGTGACCTCCACAGGGAGGCTACCAAGAGCCACATCACAGTTGATGAGGCCACAAATCAGGAGATCGTCAATGTGGTTAACGAAATGATGGGGAACCCTTTCGTGATTGAGGATGGTGTTAGTCCAGATAATAGCCAACCACTTGTGACCATTGCAACAACTCTTGAATGTCCACCAGATGTCACTGAAGCACTGTGCAAAGTACCTGAAAATGGCCAAGTGCAAACAAAGGAATTTGTCACCATTAGACTGGTAAACGGGGAGACAGATTATCATGAACCGATTAGTAAATAAAATCTTCGCATATTTGCCAATATCGACAAAGGAGTTGTTAATAAGAAGAAACAGGCGCTACAGACATTGATCGCCAAATATTCAGCAAACTGGCGATCATTGGACAGTCTCATGATGTGGACATCAAGGAAATGTTCCAGTATGAATTAGCACCAGTTCCACTTTCTCTCCTGAAAGACAGAGAAACGTGGGATACTACCATGGCTTGAGAAGGACCATGCCACTGTTGAACTGCGAACTTCGAGTGAGCCAACACTGTGTGTGACCGATCTCATGATGTTGCCTCGGAGGGTGTGCATTGACACCGCGAAGTGCACCACACCACCTTTGGTGAGCTCTCAAATCAGCTGTTGGATACGGACAAATCATTAGCCATTCATTTGGAACCAGACAATGGTCCAATACCTCAGGGTGTCACCTGCTGGCAATAGGTGGGTGATTGTTGGCGATAGACACCTTGTACTAAACATTGTCGCTGCCTCCAGCACCCAAAGCAATACTGGTATTTACTTAATGGGGTTGCCATGTAGATTGTTCTGCGCGGAGGTGTAGTGTCGCAAAGATGATATAGTGTGCTGTGATGTACACCCACTAAAAAATTATTTGGCACCCTTTCGGCGTGATACAATATGACGCGGGTGCCGAATAATTTGTTAGTGGGTGTACACAAATGTAGCGTTAAGAACTCTGGTAATTGATGACTCTTCCTCTGAGTCGGACTCAAACCATGATTAGGAATATAAAAATAAAATAAGATGCATAATAATTGCAGCGTTATGAACCCTGAGAAAGACCTAATTTCTCTTAGGGTAGATAGTCTACTAACCCCTCGTGTCCAGTATCCCCTCTGTGCTCAATAAAATCATCTGGCGGTGCACCAAATAAAATATTAGATGTGGCGTCCCTGTACGAAAACGTTGCACACTCAAAATCGCCATTTACGTAACCATGGAAACTAAGGCTTAATCGATATTTTCCTGATCCGTCATTCCATACAATGAACATTTTTGATAATCCAGATATATTTCCTACGACACAGCACTATTTTGAACCACCAAGACGGAACAGCAAATGTACAACAGAAAAGAAAACCAAAAAGCCGATTTTTTCCGGTTTGTGACGTCATAATTATATGCAAATTAGCTGAACAATAGCAATAAGAAGCATGGCTGTTTAGAACAATCTCAGAGCTTTCATTCAACGCCCTCGTCATAATATGATGATGGTTGCCATGGAAACGGTTCTATAATAAAGAATTGCACCGCTCTCATGCCCTACACCCACCCTGGTGACGAACCCCATACATCACCCTAACAACTGCTACCATTAGCAATTTTCTGTCCGATCACGTGTGCTAACTCCATAACTAAGCCCCTTTTGGGATGTGGCTGGTGCTCGAACTCACTTGGCTGTTACTCCGCCCTCTCCTTCACCTCCACACTTGACCCATTTAAACAGTTTCTTCGTTCCTCTGTGAATTTCTGTCCAAAATAATCCTGTCTCGCACCCACCGTACTGCGTCTGTCTCACATTTCTACTACTGTCTTCACGCAAATCACATCTCTTACATTACTTAAGCCTTCGTTATTCTCTAGTTACCGAGTCGTCCTGGCACCTTCTCAATATACAACTATGCCCAACAACACCACACTATGTCTGGATTAAAGAATAACTCACTACAAAACGTGCCTTAGTTCCGACAGTGATGACAAACTAAGATTCCTCGGGTATCACGCACTACAGTCTGAATAAAATAAAGATTATTGAACTATCCTCTACAGCATTTCTTATTCTTAATCAAACGAGATATGCAAGATTTATTTCCTAAAGCCTGTGTGACCTCTCCCTTCCCCCTTTTCACACCCTTTCTTCCCCTCACACTCCCTTCCCCCTCACACTCCCTTTCTTCCCCCTCACTCTCCCTTCCTTCCCCCTCACACTCCCTTCCTCTCCCTCCCTCCCTTCCCCTCCTCCCTCACACTCCCTTCCCCCTCCCCCCCCCCACACTCCTTCCTCCCCCTCACACTCCCTTCCTTCCCCTCCACTCCTCCTTCCCCCTCCACTCCTTCCCCTCACACCCTCCCTTCCCCCCCCCCACACCCCTTCCTTCCCCTCACACTCTTCCTTCCCCTTCCCTCACACTCCCTTCCCCCCCTCACACTCCCTTCCTTCACACTTCCTTCACTTCCCGTCACACACTCTCCCCGCCCCTTCCACACCCTCAGCATTACAATAATACCACACACACACACACTCAGGTATATTAACAAAAAACATTAACTCAATACTCTCTTGCGACACACATACACTCTATCAACACAGATCTTAAGTTAATTGATCCTCCAAACACAGAAAGACACTCCCAAAATAACACAAACTTACCCCGGTCACAAAACTAAACGCATTCACGATACTAATTTTCAGAGTTAACACCTACAAGTACCTCACCTCACGCACCCACCATAACCAAAATTAAGGGTATGAAATTTTACCATTGATAGATTTGTTCAGTTTTGTATATATATATTTTTTTTACTTAATTATGGTTTTTGTGATAAAATAGTACAAATGTTATGGTTGGATGTGTTTATTCGCGTCCATACATTGTCCTCCCTCATTCACTCTCCCACCTGAATTCTCTCTTCCATTAGTCTAACGCCTGTCTCCATCCTCCTCATTCGCCTGCCTGCCCCCCACCCCCACAATAACCCCTGTCCTTCCTCTCCCCATTACCCCCGTTTCCTCCATAACTCCCACCTCTATTCACTTTTCCTTTTCTCTCCGATTCATCCCATTTCCCCCACCATGTCCTGGTGACTGTGCACACCTGCCCCCTCCCCCTCCCACACACTCTAACATGAAAGTTTATGTACCACCTTCAGAAACACACATTTAACTAGTGTGTTCCCAGAAGATTCGCCATCTAATACACAGCTTCAGGGGTGAATCTCTCTACCTGTGTTAGATACATCCTAACCTAACCACTAAGAGGTTTATCTGTGTCTTCAGCAAGACTTGCTATAGATGGCGGTGTAGTCGTCTTACTGGCTCACGGCCTACAGGTAACAACAGCTCAGTGGATCAAGAACCTCAGCCGCCGGAGGAAACACCGGAATCGACGCCAGGTAAATTTATTTGTAAACATATCACGTTGGTCTCAGGTGACCTTCACACAAGACGCTGTTGGCTGGCGGACGCCCTGCAAAGTTGTC